AGTGGCGCCAAGAAAAATCAATGTTAATTGTAGCAGTTCTTTGTAATCTGCACGTTTAAAATCCTTATCCAATTGATCGTTGCAAAACTGAATGATGCTGTTGCTCACAGTAGATGGTATTTTGGATTCGATGAATGGATCAGCAATACCGGTTGTATAATTTGTGTGATCCATGTCATCCCAGGCTCCTTGAACTCTTCGAACTTCTTCACTGTGGGTGCCGATGTTGGAACGAAATCTTTCGCTTCAAATGCACCCTTGAGCATAAGTTCGTAGACATGGTGTCGGCAACCGAGTTTCAATAAATCCCTGCCCAACTTATGCTCTAAAATTGTACACGCACCAATAAGTCGTCCAGTATTCGCTGGAGTTGTATCGAAACACATACATACAATATCGTTGGCAGCATTCCATTCCGTCACTGTTCCGAAAACGGCTTCTGCTTGTGCTGCACCAGTGCTATTATCAATTTTCGGCACTTTCAAAAGTTGCACACCCGATTCTTGTGAGATGAGGATTGGAAGCCGATCGACAGTTTTGTGGCCTGTTACGTCTTTCATTAATTTCCCGTCCCAGTGGACTGTGGCGAATTTGGCTTCAAAAGACTCTTCAATCTTTAAAGCCGTTTTTTTCCTATGATCGATGCATGCGCGCCGTAGTGTTTGATATGATATAACTAAATCCTCCAGCACATTAAACCCAAGAGCTTTAGCCACGCAGTAAATTACTTCAAATGCTGAGCGGGCTGATAATGCATTGGCATCGAGCATTGAGAGCAATTCATTAGTAATAAAACGTTTTTTCGGTGATCGCGGGCTGCTAGGGCCAGGTGATTGATATGGAGAACTATCGTGCCCTATCTGGCTTGCTGACAATGTTGACGATACTGACGATTCATCGGACTCTAACTCATATCGGGGACGTTTATGTGCAGCATGTTCCTCGAATTTATCGAGAGCTTCAACTTTCTTTGATCTTTTTGATGAAGAAGTTTCTGGATCATCATGTTCTTCACCCGAAATTTCCATCATTGATCTTTTTGCAGTAGCCGCGACCCCTGAAGTAGAAGGTCCTGGTTCATCATCTGGTTCTATCTGAATATCCATCATTTCTGGAGACACTGACATTTCTTCTTCTTCTTCTTGAATTTGAGGTTCACTTTCACTCTCTTCGCTCATTTTTGGAGCGCCTTTCTTTGCGTCAAACTCACTGTCCAGGTGATCCAAAAATTTTCGTCGAATTTCATCTTGTAATGGAGTCGTATATGATTTATTATGAACCACTTTACGCCATTTATCAAATTCATCTTGAAGTTTATCAATAAGTTTATCATTTCTTTTAGTTTCGATTTGAAACTTTTGCCAAACATGTAAATAACTTTTAATCACAAATTCAGCACTATTTCGTATGTTCATGCGATTTTCATAGTGTTGGAAGAACATATTTCGCAACAATCGACGTACCGTTGGAGGGCATGACTCATCAATTTCATCAGTGGCAAATCCAACTATATAAAAATCTTTCTGTTGCTCCTCTGCCATTTTTACGGTAAAACACGGTAATTTTAAATATTCAATTCAAATTGATTTAAACTGAAATGTATGTGCACTTTAGTTTGTAATATAACTAAAACTGAAACACATACTTTGTTTACCGCGTGTTTTATACCAATAGCATACATTAGAGATAAAGAAAAATTGGCATGAACATTGAACATTAAACATTATGCTTCATTACAACATTTGTTCATAGATGTGTATTGCATCGAATTCCATATTTCGGGAAATTCCCAATAGCAAATTATTTCGTCATTTGAATCCACACTCGCATGCGTGTTTCCTTTTCTCTCTTCTGGGAATTTCCTACGCATCCAAGAAGGCAGGGAATTTCCAGCATTTTTATGATCATTACACTGCATTGTGTACTGGGAATCTCGTGTTGGGCAATGGGAATAGTTTCTTTATCATTGAAGAACATTTAAGGATGTTATTACATGGTCCTCAATTGAACGCGCTAACTATAGCTGCACGACAGAAGGCAGAAAAAGATCCAAATCCAACTACCTGAATCTGTTATTCGTGAGTTATGTGCTAAAAAGAGCAGAAAAAAGTCAATGTTCGAGCATTTTTAGACTAAAGCAACACATTTATGCGCCTTAGAAACTTGATAACATGGTAGAAGTTGTTAGTTTTATTGCCACATACACAGTTTAGTTTGTGACTTGTGGAAAAAAGTTATTTGATCAGTCGAAATTGGTCGAATTGTTTAGATATATTGAAGTTTTCAGTATATTTTACCTTCAAAATTCATAGCTTGCCCAACCTTATTTTGACTATATAAATATATGAATGTTCTTAACAAAAAATGATCGTGTGGTCCTAAGTTAGTATTTCTGGGATGATACGACATGAATTTCGACTATATAACATCTCTGGAGTGTGTATACAAATCAATAATGAATAATTCGAAAATTCAGAAAAATTTGTCTTTTATACACGAGTCAAAGTGACACTAAATTTCATTAAAATTGCACTGTAATGGTACCAAATTGTTCGTACAGTTTCTGGCTACACGACACAAGTCAAAAACTGAACAAAAGTTGACCACCTGGGTGACCAGTAGAGCAAAGAATGCGAAAAATGCCGAAAATTTGCTATTTTTTCGGTCATTTTACACTGTAACTGGCCCAGAAGGCCTTTTCAATGGTTGATGTCTTGGTAAAAGTTATAGATATTGACGAGCCAAATAAAACCCCATCACTGGTTTTGGCCGAAAATTGGCTGGAAAAATGATTTAGGTCGAAAAGTTGCAACCTAAAATGATTTCCGAAACTACCTTACTCAAAAATTTCATGAATTTTGAGAAAGTGGTTTCATTTCTACGTTTTCCGATTTTTTGATGCCAAACCTATTTTTTTGCGGCCAATTTTCGAAAACCGATCGGGGAGCTTGAATATCTCAACTTTTTTTTTTTTTGGAGCAGTCTACTATATATGTATTTTCAAAGGTCCGATTCTTAATTTTTAGAGTATATTTCTGAATTGTTTATGACCTATCTTAAACTATTTCTTCTAAGCCGATTCATTTATGCGTCTACTTCATGGTGAAATATGGTCCAGAGTAGGTATTTACGGTCTCGAAATCCAAAAGGAGTCTGGAAAGAAATGAAAAAACAGAATATAGTTATAGTTTTATATAATTTTATTTAATTAAACGTATAAGAACTTCGATACTTACTTTTTGCTTGATAGCTCCTTCCCCTTATAGACCAATATATATTCCCCGCGATTTAATTCCTTGATCTGCTCCTCGTCGAACAATTTTGCGAAACGATCAGGAAGAAGCACCGCTCTATCTCCAAGGTCCACACGAAGCCTTAAACCAAACTTTGTTTGAGTCAGAGCAAACGATGACACAAAATAATCACCCACAGATAGGTCTTCAAAACAGGTGTATGGCTTGTTGTTGCAAACACTTTTCAAGATGCTTAGTAGAGACATATTGAATGATTTTCACTTATCAAGTCCGAGCTAGACTGAATATTATTGAAAAAATGGCACATATTTATATGAGCAGAAATGATTAAAATCACCCCCACTATTGAACATACTTAAAACGAGCCGACTTATGAACTATCGCGGTAAAATTATTTGATCCTCTAACATCAAAAAATTCCGATTCACATCAAATGTGCCGATTTGTGTGAGATTTCCAAACTCTAGGGATTTCGGAGAAATCCTTCTACCCCCACCAATGACCAAACATCAAAAGCGCCGATTTCAATGCATTTTCCCTTACGCCACGGGGGGTCTATATATTTTTATTTCTTCTTTCCGACACAGCTGTCATGCGATTGATCATGTCGACTGTTCAAAAACATAGTGCCGATGAAATGGCAGCTGAAATTGGTCGATTGGTGGGGGAAAATGTTGTGTATTATATCAATGAGATTTGAAAATTGTCACCAGTTTTATTCTTACTGACTACGTAATAATAAGAGATTTCAACATGTCTTAGAAACTTTATTCTGAAATTCGTGAAACTGCATTTAACGCAAGAATGCGTGCATTTGCGATCGTCAATCGAGAACATATTGACATTCGCGACTTCCTTTCAGATGGTTTTGTGATATTTGATAGTGAGATAAAACAAGTGATCGATGAGCATTATATCATAAAATTGAGTGCATGTTTCATTGCTGTATTCGAAAAACCGATACAACGTGAAGGTGATTTAAAAGAAAAGCAAACAATTTATATTCAGACGAGAAGTGAAATTGTGCACCTTGATACGGATTTGGCTGATTTTTTTCGCGAAGAAATTACGAAATATATTCCCAGCCAAGTTGATGACGTTGTGACTAAAGGGTCGGGATTTACCTTATCAGATATCGTCGAGTTAGTTGTGCAAGTGAATAAATATGAGCCGTGGAGAGGAGCATCGTTTATTGAACTGCCCAAATATTTGACATCAAAACGAGCAATAATAAACGTCATTAATAATGATGAAATGTGCTTCAAATGGGCCATACTATCAAAGTTGTATCCAGCTACGTGGAATCCCAACCGGTTATTTCACTATTTGCAATATAAAGATGATCTAAACTTTACTGGAATCGAATTCCCCGTGAAACTAAATCAAATAGATAAATTTGAAAAATTAAACCCCACAATATCCGTGAACGTTTACGTGTACGAAGTCAAAGGCGATGATAAATTCATACGTCCAATTCGCGTTACAAAAAATGTAAAGTTGAATCATGTTCACTTACTATTGATCACGAAACAAATACAATCAAAAAATCCTAATAAAGATCAAAGTGTGCAAATTCAATCACATTATTGTTGGATCAAGCATTTAAGCCGATTGGTATCCGCCCAAGTATCGAACCATAACGGTAACCATTTCTTCTGCGATCGATGTCTGAATTTTTTTCAAAGTTCGGAAAAACTGAAAAAACATATCGACCACTGTATGAAACAGAACGAGTTCGCAATTGAGATGCCAGAACATCATGACAATATCATCCAATTCAAGAATTGGCAGAATCAGCTTGAATGCCCATTCATCATATATGCGGATGTGGAAGCGCTATTGAAAGTACCTGAAGTGCAAGTTTTCAAAGGCAAAAAGCGTGAAATTGCGGCTTATCAGGAGCATGAAGTTTATAGCGTCGGGTATTATTTTAAATGTTCTTTTGACGAGTCGAAATCATTTTATGCGAGTAAACGTGGTCCCAACTGCATCGATTGGTTTGTAGACCAGATGAAAACTGCTGCTGAGTTTGCCGCCAAACATCTCAATAATATAATTCCATTGAATATGACGGCTGAACAGGAACAACGTTTTCAAAATGCGCAAACTTGTCACATTTGTGAAAAACAATTTGATTCCGATTCCATAAAAGTGAGGGATCATTCCCATTTGACGGGGGAATTTCGCGGTGCTGCACACCAAGATTGTAATTTGAATTACGTGGAAAATCGTGCTATTCCGGTAGTTTTTCACAATTTGACTGGCTATGATTCGCATTTTCTGCTACGCAAACTAGCCAATGGTTTTGCGGGTGATATGCAGATTATACCAATCAACACGGAAAGGTATATATCTTTTTCAAAAACTGTTGAGGGGACAGCACAACCATGCAAAGAGGACATCAAACTGAGGTTTATCGATTCATTTCGATTCATGGCTGATTCACTGGATACTCTTTCATCCTTGATTCCATCAGAGAAAAAGCGGATTTTGAGGACCGAATGTAAGCACCTGAGTGAAGAGCAGTTGAAGTTATTGGAGAGAAAGGGCATTTTTTGCTATGATTACATCGACAGCTGGGAAAAACTAAATGACACATCGCTGCCGTCCAAAGAGGCTTTCCATAGTACATTGACCGACAGTCCGATTACTGATAAAGATTACGATTTCGCGAAAGAGGTGTGGGATAAATTTAATATAAAAGACTTAGGTGAATATTCCGACCTCTACTTAAAGACTGATGTGCTGTTATTGGCTGATGTGTTTGAAAATTTCCGTAAAACATGCCATACAATTTATAAATTGGATCCAGCGAACTACTATACAGCTCCTGGACTTTCTTTCGACGCCATGTTGCGATATACAAATGTCCAACTTGAACTCTTTACAGACATCGATATGCTCATGTTCGTTGAGCGTGGAATTCGTGGTGGCATAAGCCAATGTAGTACGCGTTACATTCAAGCAAATAATAAATTCATGGATAATTATAATGAAAATAAAGAGAGCAGCTACATCATGTATCTCGACGCCAATAACTTATATGGCCATTCGATGATGCAGCATTTACCACATAATAATTTTCAATGGTCTGACGCTAAATTTGATCGAGAGACAATTCTGAATCTTAAAGATGATGATGATATTGGCTATGTTTTCGAAGTAGATCTCGATTCTCCGAAAGAGTTGCACGATTTGCATAATGATTACCCGTTTTGCGCTGAAAATATGCATGTTCCAGGCAAAAAAAGGTGTAAAGAAATTGCTCTTGACACTTTACGATAAAAAAAATTATGTGATCCACTACAGAATGCTGAAATTGGCTCTTCAGCATGGATTAGTTTTGAAGAAAGTGCATCGCGCCCTGCAGTTCAACCAAACAGCATGGCTCAAGCCCTACATTCAGCTGAACACGGAAATGAGAACGCGAGCTACTAATGATTTTGAAAAAAATTTCTTCAAACTTCTCTGCAATGCTATTTTTGGTAAGTAAATGCCCTCCCAAAATGATCATATCTCCATACTGAATAAATGTAATAAACTAATCAATTTTTATTTCACATTCATATTATAGGGAAAACCATGGAAAATCTGAGATCTCGCGTTGATATAAAACTGAAGTCGCGGTGGGGTGGAAGATGTGGAGCACGTATGCTCATAGCGAAACCGAATTTCAAGCGACGTACAATTTTTGATGAAGATTTGGTCGCCGTCGAGCTGAAAAAAACGAGTTTGTTAATGAATAAGCCGATTGTGGTGGGTCTCGCGATATTGGACGTATCCAAAGTCGTTATGTATGACTTTCACTATAACTTTATGAAGCCTAAATACGGCGATAACGTGGAATTGGCCTACACCGACACTGACTCATTCATATATAAAATCCGCTGCGAGCACTTTTATGATGATATGAAACAACATTTAGACAAATTCGACACCAGCGATTACAAAGAGAATAATCCATACAACATGCCCCGCGTGAACAAGAAGAAGCCTGGTCTATTTAAGGACGAGTTGAATGGCGAAATTATAGAGAAAAAGATAGGTCTACGTAGCAAAATGTATTGTGTTCGAACGAAGAAAGACAAAATGAAAAAAGCAAAGGGAGTAAAAAAATATATCATAAGTAAAGAGATTAAATTTAAGCATTATTATGAATGTTTGATTAAAAATTGTGCTATTATCAAAAAACAAAATTCATTCCGCACTATGTTGCATAAGATGTATAGCATTACACAGGAGAAGGTAGCTCTTAGTCATAATGACGATAAGAGATATGTTCTGCCTGATAACGTTGAAACTCTCGCATGGGGGCATTATAGAATAAGTGAATTAAATTCGATTGATAAGATCATTTTAAAATGAATGGCCATTTTGAACGCTTTTAATGGAGACACCCGCCATTCGATTTTGCAGTAGAATACCACCAGGCATCCAATAATCACAACAACAAATAAAAGATTTAATATATAAGCATAAACTGTAAAATTACCAAAAGAATAAATAAAAAAAATGTATTTTTTTTTTGACATATCATAAATTTTGCGTTTTTCTTTATTAAAAATTCGTTTTAAAGTACATCATTTTCACTTATCCAGCTATTATATTTGCTATCGAAACCGAGCCATTTCACATACACTTTGCCGTTTTTTCTTCGAAGAATTTTCTCAACTAAGTAAACGTTTGGATATTTTACTTGTTGCATTTCTTCTGCGTAAACACCACCTTTTATTTCGTTACCTTCCCAATCAGTTAATAAATACGTGATCGGGTCGGTATATTGAATTTTTCTGATGGTGAAAACTTCGGTCGTCCATGATGGGAGATAGCCTTTTTCGAAAATATGCTTATATTTACTTAGCCTAACATGGTCTCCTATTTTAAATTTATTTATATTTTTTGGTGGAATAATGCGCTTATAATTATAAACAGTGTCCAGCAATTCTTGCTCATGATCGAAATCAACATCTTTTGGGGCCATATTTATTGTTCGATGTCTGGTTGAATTGTACTCGTAGAGTAATTCTTGAAGAATATCAACCCATTTATAATTACCATTCAAGCTAAATCGCTGATAAATTTTTTTCTTGAGGGTTCTATTCATACGCTCTATTGTACTGGCTTCGAGATTGCTAAAAACGGAATATCGATTGATTTTATAAGACTCTAATAGTCGCGTCATCTCTGCATTGTAAAATTCTCGACCCATGTCCACGAAAAGATTCTTTACTGGTCGTTTCGTTGAAATCAAAATTGATTTCATCGCCTGCGTAACCTCATGTCCAGTCTTCGTTTTAAGTGGGACAGCATACGCCACTTTTGAAAATGTATCAATGGCGGTTAGACAATATTTCATTCCACGATCAGGGGGTAGCTCAATTAAATCTGCTTGTATTGTATCGCAAATTCCACGCATATTGTTGCGACGCCTTGGGTAATGTTTCCGCGCATCGCGATGTATCTCCTTGACAACTTGTAGCTTGCTCATTGTTTACGTGTTTCTGACAACAATTCCACTGAATGGTGAATATTCGACTTGATTATCGTGAACTATCAAGCAATATGCGGCAGTGTTGGCTGGTATGTTATCACGTGCGCTAATTTCCAATCGAACGTCAACAGTACCACCAATTAATGATTCGTCTGATCTCGAGCAATCAATTCTGCTCATTTTTGAATTTTTGTCGCCGCAAATTCGAAATTTTTCGGTCAAATTTTGGTATAATATATCTGCCCAAATCTGCTCATTTTAGAAATTCATCTGGCCAATTTAGACTTTGTCTGACCATATTAGATTTATCCGTATGATGATTGAATTTGCAAAAATGAATGGTACAGCTCTTGATAATTGCCACTATTAAAGTCCGAATTGTAATTGTCATATGGATAGTACTCCGAATTTAAATACAACTTAACATCGGAAATATTACAATTATCATACGCAGCCGAATTAGCGCTCACAATCTGTCTAACAGTTTGGAAAACAACGAAGACATACCGTGGTTTGCTTATCTGCGTCGTAGATTTGACGGTCCAAATATGTCTCATGCTCAGAGGTAACTGGGGCATCTCATACAAGTCCCACGACCTATAAGGGACGCTAATCGTTTGCTTTTTCTCCAGATATCGTAGCATCGCGAGTTTGGCTTCACCCGACAGCGTGATATGTGGCACCTTCCATTGAATGTTTTTTACACCAACTGAGCTCTCATTTATATCACTAAATCCAAATAGATTGAGATTATTTTGCCTGTTGTAAATTAACATTTTGCTGGTCTAGTTCTCGTTTCTTTTTATGTGGATTCGACACGTGATATCCTCCCCTCGAAAGTCAATTGGGTCGCCGTTTTGATCGACAATTGAAATTTGAATCAGTCCTATACGCTTTTGAATAATCGGCAAGTAAATTATATGTCGAGGTTGTTCAATGATTTTATATCCCACGTCCACTTTATTGCTTGGGAATTCGTATATTGAATGACAGGATCGACCATTTACATAAGCCCCCGTCACTATATTGCATTCCACTCTAATTACGTTTAATTTGGAGATTTTTATTACGTCTTCAGATTCGTGATCAGTATCCGCAGGAATGTGTCGCACAAGTGCAGCTTTAAAGCCAAAAGTCTCGTAAATTGACTCAGGAAATCCCAATAAAATTTTGGCTGAACACTTAAATGTGGTTTTAAGTGTGTTCTTGTTGATTTTATAATCAAAACTGATGTTTTTTGCGCTCAATTCCTTCTTTATATAGTCTAGCACATCCTCGGCTTCATAACAGCCAACTGGTACGCTTATTACATTGAACTCCACCTCATTATCAGACCCGCTATTATAATAAAATTTATTATTTTTTTTCGTTATATTTGGCATGGAATGATATGTGGTAAAATCCAATAAGCCGCATGAATAATCATATTTTTCATCTAATATTAACTCGGGGAAAAATGTGGCAGTTAAGTTGGATGAATTACCGGTCAGAGATACCGTAAATGACGACATGATTGCAAAACTGTTACTGAAGACAATCATGGAAACGCGTCCGTATTTATAGAACTCCAAAAGTTATATAAAAACTTCAAGCACAGCTGACCACATACCATGGTATCATACTTTTGGTAGCAGTTATAATTTAATAGGATTCTCACATTTTCACCCAAATATTCTTTAACTTCAAGTGGGGGTAATAAGTCACCAAATGAGTCAAAGTACCATGCGGTATTATTAATTTTCGTGAGTGCAGTCCAATGGCTTCCGCGGGATCGAACGCTATCATGATTCAATACCAAACATTCAATTTTTGATGGCTTTCTGGGCATATTGTCACGCATAAAAACCCCTCGAAAATGTGGAATTTTTAACATTTCAACAAAATTTAATATGTCATGATTGCTAAGCGGTCGATCTCGTGGAAGCGATTTTAACCGTTTTTTGAAAACGGCTTTAAATATAGGCCATTGCCTGTTTTATATGGTTTCAAATATAAGCCCTTTCCGACTTTCATCTCAATTTCTTTGTTATGTCTTTTATTCTCATCTAAAAATTCTTGTGCGATTTTTAGGTCTTTCGCTGTTTTCACGACTCCGGCAGTAGATCCAACGAGTGCACCAATCGCACTCAATCCCGCTAAAATTGGCAAAATCGGTAGAACACCTCCGGTGAATTTCGGCACTTTTAAAACTCTCGGCATTTTAATGCGCTTCCCTTTTGCCGATTTTTTGGCCGATCGAATTGCTGCTTTGATTGTCGAATCAATCTTCTTGCTTTTTGATTTTTTCATGCCCATTTTAGCATCTTTGACAAGAGTCGCAAAATCGATTTCTTTCGATGACTTCTTGATTTTTCTCACTTTTTTGCGGCAGTTTAATTTCGACATGTCCAACCCAACCTTAGCCAATCCCGTTTTCGCCTTCATAGCTGCTGACACTAACAATGATGCTGCGCGTTCTCCGAATTTAGCGTCCTTTGAAAACACTCTTTTAAATGCTTCTGAACCTAACTTTTTATCAGCCTTTAATCGCTCGGCCGAATCTTTATTATTTGCGTAAGCGATGTCGTGTTCTCTACAAAATTCGTCTAATTTATTAATACAAGTTTCACCGCGTGCTAATCGCTCCTTTAATTTTGTACCAGGTCCACAATATTGATATGATGGCAAATGTAATTCAAATGGAAGTTTGTCTATTAATGTATCGAGAAGTCCGTTACCATGTATAGACTTCGCCTTATGCAATTTCTTAGATTTACTGACGACTTTTCGACGTGCCATAATAGATGTTCACTCATCAATGATTGAACTGCGATTGATGGAGATCGTATATATATATCAGCTATTTATACGTTAAACGCTCAGTTTAAATCAAGATGCGTTTCACGAAACATGCTCTCGATATCCCTGTGAGGAATTTAGATGACATTACTTCAAGTAAAAGACCCAAAGAAAAGCGTCATGGCCCACTATTACCCAATAATCTGAGATTAATTATTTGCGGCCCAAGCAATTCGGGTAAAACCAATTTGCTTCTAGGCTTGATTGAATCAGAGAATGGGATTAAATTTGAAAATTTATATGTTTATTCGAAGACTTTGCAGCAAGACAAATACAAATATTTAGCAGACATTTTGACTCCAATTAAAGAAGTCGGCTATCATGCATTTTCATCAATGGATGATGTCATCGCACCAAGCGAAGCCAAACGTAACTCAGTGATCGTTTTTGATGATGTGATTTGTGAGAAAAGCCAAGATAAAGTACGTGAACTTTTCTGCATGGGGCGGTACTATGACACGGACGTAATTTACCTAACTCAGACATTTACCAAGTTAAGTAAACATTTAATCCGCGATAATTGCAATTTTCTCATATTATTCAAGCAAGATGATATGAATTTAAAGCATGCTTATGATGATTTCGGTATAATTTGCGATATGAAATTTGATGAATTCAAAAAATTCTGTCTCGAATGCTGGTGCGAAAAATACGGCTTTGTTGTTATTGATCTAGAAAGTGATGTAAACAATGGTCGATACCGTAAAAAATTCAGCGAATTTCTTCAAGTCTATAAAAATGATGACTGATCGGGCATTTGCGTTAGTCTGATTTTTAACGTTACACAGTCAAGATAGTGAGATAAAATGCGCAGTGAAAGGGAGTTGTCATTAAAACGTGAAAAAGATATAAAATCGAAACTTGTCAAAACACGCAAAATCATTCAAGATAAATTTAATAAAGCCCACAAAAATCGCATCACTCGTGAAAGTGAGCTCAGCGAAAAATATCGTCCAATAACTCAGGCGATCGGTAAATTGGCTGAGGGGCAAACGCATCAACGTGGAAAATTTAATACACCCAGTTTTCAAGATGAATATTATAATGATGATCCAATTTATGATGAAGCTAATCATAGCAAATTCGGAATTCCCTCTGATAGTGATGCTGAATCAATGGATTATGAGGATTGGACTGATGATTCGGAGGATGGGTATATGGATTTCACCGAAAATCAAGAAAACGTTTCAGAGAATTTTGATATTCCTGGACCATCTCATGCTGGTGCTAAGGAGAAGAGGAAGCGAGAAGATGATAAGCGTCCTATTGACACTGTGTCTATTTTGTCTGATGGTAGTGAAACCCTTATCAAGCCAACTACCGGTGGAAAACGGTCGCGACTTTCTCAAACATCTATTGATAAGCGACAGAAAGCGACAAATAAAAAAAATAATAAAAAAATACAAGAAATGCGGAAAGTAGATGAAATTTTGAGCGATCGCAATGAAATAAGAAAAGAAAAGGCTGAAAAAAAATCGAAAAATTATTATGTCATTCCAATTTTGTTGATGATAGCGATAGTGACAGTGAAAGTGGCTCAGCTATCGTAATTGATAGCGAAGAAGATGAGGTTCCAGCGGATCGCAATCCAGCAACTAAGAGAAAAGTGGAATCTAAAATTCCATTTAGTAAAAATAAATTTATAAAAGTGCAGCCAACTTCATTAAAAAGCAAGTTAAGCGGTCGCGTAAATGCAAATAAATTGCGTCAATTCATAAAGATGCCACGTCCTATCACGAATTCACTGTCACGTTTTCAGAAAATCCCAATAAAAACGATATATGCAACACCAGCTATTGATAATCCATATTTGACAGTGAGTGAAATTTCAAAACGAGGACAAGAAAAAAATGAAACAGCGCAAGAAACGCCGACGGAAAGAACAAAGAAAACGAAGAAAACGAAGGAGGATGAAGTTGAAATGACCAAAAAAACCGGCAAAGGGATAGAGACCGACTTTGTCCCTTACAATGAAAATATTGTACATGAATTTTATGACGATCCGAATGAGTTATGCGAAAGGTTGCGTCTCCTAATAGCTTCTCGCACCGCCGGAAATACCAACCATTCACAAGAAATAAATTCCATAGTCGCCGAACTGCGTGAAAGTGGCATCATAAAATAATTCATTCCTAATGTA